TTAATTACAAAGCCTCTAATTAATTAGATTAATTTTTTTAATCGAGTCCCGGCCCTAATTTTTATGTAAAAATCGGAGAGTAAAAGTTAGCTGCTAATGGTAGCCACCAGAGTTATCACAGCTTCCGGTTTTGGCTATGCATGCATCAGTCTCACACACACACATTACCAAATAAGGAGTATGTGGGAGTTCCCCTCGATTCGATTGGCTCTGACGGTTAGAAAGAGATCAACAAAATCGAGCAAGGGGGGCCAGAGATATGGAAAATCCACCCAAATGACCCCAGAAGTGGTTTTATTTTTGCTAAATCTCTCTAAAAAGGTCAAATTTAACTTGTTTTGCATCAATCTTGATACAGGGTACTTGTTATATCTTGTAGTTTGGATTCCTAAAGCTTTTAGTCTATCATCCCATCATTCAAGGGTGGTTTTCGCTAGAAGTAATATTTTTTTTTTTGGACGCTAGAAGTAATATATTTTTTTTTTGGACGGACACAATAATTTACATTTTTTACTGTGTTCAATCTGAATTTACTTTAAATAAAAACATCTATATTGATTCTGACACTTCTACATCCAACTCATAGATGTAACCTTGCTTTGAGACAAAATATTATTAATTTAACCCTTTTAGAAGGGAAGATATGGTCATTTGTTCTGGGAATGTCATTTTCGAGCCTGAGACCTGAAAAACAGGCTCGGAGCTCTAAAAGAAATCCTGCATCAGCCTTGTTTAGCCTTTGTGGAAGAGGTTCTCTGGACTGCTTTCCACAAGCAAACATGTTATGAGAGTGGCTGAGGACAGGGTAATGTAGGTGGATGTTAATGTGTGACAAAATATTGTGATTGATATGTCATCTACCAGTAATGCACAACGACAGTCCTTAAAGTATATTTGTTATTTTCTTCTTGTCATAAGTATTGTTATTCAAGAGGACAAACCACAATGGACCAAATATGTTAACATGCTATTGGTGAGTTTTTATTGATGCTTAAGTATTTGGTCGAATATAGTTACTCTTATCATAATAAATAATGCATTTGACCAATGGTGAAATAACTCAAACACTAGTGGCTTAGACATTAAAATGTATTTTGTAATATGTATTAGTACAACTTATTTGTTCTGATTATAGTCCAATTTTGATGGTGTAATGACAGAATTGCTGTTGGCTGTAGCAGGGGCATTGCAAATGTTGACAGTAAAGGCCATTATGTCTAGACTTTTGTTATCAAGTTAAAGTCAAGGATTTTAGCAATTGATCTTCCGAGCATTAACTTTGAGATGGTTTTGAAAAAATGGGACATTGGCTAAGGTAAAATAAAAATCATAGTTCACCATATAATGATGTAATCTTGCCAAAATTTGAAATATTTGTATTGTTTCTTTAATAACTTGATTGTTTATTTCTATATTAATGTTTGAGCTTTCAAAAATGACAGCATGCCAAGAGACTGTGACAACTGTTGACACACCAAACACAGACAGTCCATAAAGCCACTTCCACTATTTGTATGAGCAAACATGCCTTTGACACACAGACAGTGCCAATGTGATGACAGTGCATGCAACTTGTTTCGAATGTTGGGTAAAATTGGAAGTCTGCAAAGAATAACTTTTTTAATTGTATCCATTTTCATATTTGCCCTTTTTCTTTGTGTTCTAGGGTTGTTGTAATTCTAGCAAAAGAGAATAGAAGATGAAGAAAATCGAAATAATCAGTTCAATTTAAAATATTCATTTATTTATTAACAATATACTTGGCTATAATCACATCATGTCAGCACATTGCGACAAACATTTTGCATCGAAGTAATAGTGCAACTCATACATTATGCTCATAATATAGCATTATATAAAAATAAAGACAATAATTATACATTTCAATTGACACAAAATTCTAATCCTGACTCCATTTCCACCAGTTACAGTATACAGAAACTGTGCTCTGCAAAAACATGCAATACAACGCATTTAAACTCAATTAGAGCTTGAGAAAATAAGATGATTGACCTAATGCTTTCTGTAGGCGCAGTATCAATAGTTTTCCGTTAGACTTATAAGTAGTAGAACCCTCTAGCAGAATTTGCTCTTAAAATACAGTAGGGTGATAAAGTGCTTTATAAGTTATGTTATGATGGTGCCTCAATGTTACATTGAGTCAGGGGATAGGGGGTGCTTGCAAGATAAAATAATACACAATAATACAATTGGTTTACAAGATAATAATACAAGAGAAGCTTTTAGAGGCAACAGATAGCTGAAACAAGTTTGTGGGCTATTTGGACATAAATGTTATGAAAAATATTGTAAGGCAAAAAGCCCAAGTATGTTTGCGATCAAAATAACATTTGTACAATCCAGAAAATCCAGAAAACATCTTTGGCTTTTCCAACACTCGGTGTAAACATAGGCAAGAAGTAAGGCCTGTGACTCAGGAATTTACTATAAATATATTATTATATCTTTGTAGTCCATATACGATACATTATTGTAAATAATACATTCTTCCTACCATGAAATTACACAACTTTTTGAAAATGTAAAATGTTCCCCATGTGTGTTCCTCCGTGTCCGTCACGTGTTGCATTGTGAGGCAAAAGTGCTCATTAACTTTAAGTTATTTTAGTGTAGATGCTGGCATTTTTCAAAGTATATATCTTACTTAATATTCTTTAGGGTTGGACATAGTACTTTTTAAACTCACTTATAAATTGTAGGACTATAAATGTGTACTATTGGGTAACAAAGAAGTTGTTTTAAAAAAAAAAAAAAGAATACCAGATTGCTCCTAATTTGACATCATCCAAGAAAACTTTAGACTTTGAGATATTAATGCCAACATGCAACCCCACATGCTCTGTGACCTGCCTCACAGACCTTCACATTAACTGACACTGAGGCAATAGCTAAATGTTTGCTCACGCTGCTGAGAAATGACCTTGGGTTCATATGCTGTCAGAGATAAAGTTACCCAACTGATTAGCCGACTTGTGTAAATAATACAGTGGAGATGCTGATCAAACAAATTTCAACATACGTGCATCATTGGCTGTGCTCAGACAGAAGTCAGGGCCAATTGAACATGGTCAAAGCGTGACAAGTTCAAACACTTACCATAACTTCACAATACAATTAAAAATGTCTTTGGGTGTAATTCAAAAGAAAAACCCAAGATAAAATACAAAAAGGTTTGACATAAAAAGACAGCATTAGTCAGTAATAATATTCACTAATACTGGATTATCTTTGTGCCTTGACACAAGTTGAAGGCATACTATAAATGAAGGTTATTTTAAAAGCCTCTCTTTTACAGGTCAGTTCTACACCAAATGTTTTTGGACTGAATTCCACTGAAATCCAGCAGCAATTGTAAAATACAAAATAAATAATCTAAACATGACGAAAATGAAAAAGAAAATGCATCTTTAAAATGAACTACAGTGAGGGCATTACATTAATCTCTTAGTGTTTCATATGACCTCCATAAGCAGTGTCTTAAGCGGGACTAATAGCCACTTTACAGCTCTATATTTGGTTTACGATAATATCACAAATATTATTTTTTCTATTGTATGTCTTTTAACGTTTCTTAGTTTACTAACTTTATTTTATAGTGCTTCGGTTTAAAAAAAAAAATAGTCTTCATTGAGACTCAGTGTATCATTTTACTTAGGTTCTAGGCACTTAACATTTTCTCTCAAACGCTTCTCTCAAAATCTAATGAGTGACAAACTGTGTGATAAAACAGAAAGATCTCTTGGTCTTTATGCCAACTATTCCTCTAATGACAATTTTTTATGTATGTGTAAACTGCTAAATTATGTGTTTTTTTACTATTTATATATTATTTCCACACACTTATGTGTTTTATTTGGGAAGAAAAGAGTACAAGTAACAGCGTATTTAGAGTTATTTGTTGTCCCAAATAAGATTTACTCCTCCTCTGTTATTATGTATTATCATTCTGTTTGTCTAATTATCCCGTATTAAAAAAGTATTTGTTAACTATAACATATCTTTACAAATCCTTTATGTACATCCACAGGAATCCACTATCATATCAGGGACGTCCGTTTGGACAATGATGTGCTGGGAGTTGAAGTACACCATGGAGAGTGGCCGTCGCTCAGTAGGAACACAACATGAAGATACATCTGCGTTAATGCCATTGACTTTCAGCTGGCTGAAGACAGTGGCATGGAATGAGGATGCTATGCCCGGGGATCCAGCCAGATGCTGGAGGCACTGACCCATGCAGTAGTTCATATAGTAGCCCTCAGGTGCAATGATCCAGTCATTCCACTGGATATCTTTAAAATTGATGTAGAATTCTCTCTTACAGCACACACTTACATCTTCACCACAACGTACCGAGCGCTTCCTGAGAGAGTGTTTGGAGCGGTCTTCTCGGAGACGCAGCTGGGCAGCCAGGAAGGGCTGGTTGAGGGTGTCGGTAGAGCCATCCAGGGAGCAAAGGTTCTTCCCATCCTCATCGCAGTTTACCTCCAAACGCAGCTTGTGCCGGGCCCCTTCCAGAAAGGCCTGCAAGGTGTGGGTGATGGGGAAGGTGTGCCAGTTACTCACCTTGACCTCCAGCTTCTTTTCCATCACCAGGGTGCGGTTAGCTCCTGGCACCCCAGCTTCTGCAGAGAGAAAAACTTGAGCAGAGAGGCGGGAGTCTCTATGGCGGTCCTCAGAGGAGCGGACATAGATCCACAGAGAAGACTGGAGCACCTGGATATTTTGGCCTTGCTCCTGTAGAAACTGGAAGGCAAGGCTGAGGCTAGCTTCATCCCCACTCTCTGTCTCATCTATGGATCAATGACATTTTGAGGACAAAGACTGTGATTATTCTGGAAATGTAGAAACACCTGTTGCACAAGCAATTGGGAAATTAATTTAAAGAAATGCTTATAAAATAAAGCTGCAGGTTTAGGTCAAAATATAGGTCTCCCTCCACCCATTTCATGCATTTATCGTATCACTTGGTTATGGTTGACTCTTAAAATAGTGATGACAGATACTGTAAAGAAGCTGTTACAGTGTTTGAAGGACTACAACAACCCTAAGAGGCTCAAGGAATCCCTGACCTAATTTGTGTCAATGTTAAGCACTGACATGCGTTAAGAGCCCACACCATGCCACATTTGGTGTTTTAGTTCCATAAGAAAACATATTTAAAGTGTAAAATGAGAATAACAAACTTACTTAGATCTGCAAAGCTCACAATTTCATAGCTTTGATCTTTGGGTAAACTGTTTTCTGGTTCCAAAGTACCATCCTGTCGGACGCTCCCAGAGTGCAGTTTGCGCAGCGCGGTGAGGAGCGCTGCCCGGGGAACCGTCTGAGTGATGTTTGGTCTTTCTTTCAGGTGCAGCTTGTCTAAAAGTTGCTGCTTGACAATTTCTATCATATGCCTTTCTTCTGCGGTTCTTTCCATAACGGGCACGCCACAGGACGCACAGCCCGGTGATCCACTGACCCAGAGACCTTGCAACAGGAAAAAATTGAATAAAAAAGAAGGCGTCATCTCCGACTCCAAAGTAAACAAATGCATGCCTGTGTGCAGCGTTAAAAATGAAATATTTTTTCTGAGATTTTGGAAGTCTCAAGTTTCTCAAATGTTTCAGAAGCCCTGTTTAAAAGCTGGAGAACACCGTGAAGAGAGGAGTTGAGGAAAATGAATGATGTTTGGCCCACCCAATGGTGAAGATATCTAGGGTAATCCACGAACACTGGTGACACGTTGGAGGGACGCACCAATGAGCGCATTTGGGCACCGAGGAAATGACTGGCAAAGCATGTGTGCCCTGCTCTCACGCAATACCTAGAAGAGATGGCAAACGGTATCAATACGACTTCTGCCAATGACACACCTGGTAAATGACCCACTCGCTGCTTTGCATGAACTATTTCGACTGTTTAAAAGTGACTTGATTCATGTTGATAACCTGGATCGTTACCTGCATGCGTTTATAAGGACATGTCGCCTGATAGCCAGGGGCTATAGGCAACTTGCCACCAGCCTCGCCGACCAAAGTTGAGATTCAGTTCCCTTTAACCCAGTTAAAGAATACACGAGCCACACAGCCATCAAACAATTGTAGTTCAAAACGTGCACAGCACATGTGCTGGAGCCTGGAGGCTGTGAGGCGGGTTACAACACGTTCCGTCATGTTGACATATTAGTGTGTGTGTGTGTGTGTGTGTGTGTGTGTGTGTGTGTGTGTGTGTGTGTGTGTGTGTGTGTGTGTGTGGCCTAGCATTACTATCTTTGTGGGGACCTAAATCT